ATGTGTCTTACTTATCAACCTGTCGGTATTGCATACCATTTTGATATTCAGGTTTTCTGATAATACATTGCTTATTTTTATGATGTATTAGTTTTATCTTTGCGTCTTCCAAAGTAAATACTGTAAGATGGTACATCTATATTTCCTCATAAAGTTGCTACACATTCTTTTTCTCTTTTCTAATGTTACTTGTGTTAACAACTTGGACTTGTCAATGGTCCAATTCGGACCGAAACGTCGTCATAAACCTCTTTATCCTATGTGCGGGTTATTTTTGTAGTGTGCATGTTTCTGTTTTAAGTTACGATGCCTAACACTCTTGTACTCTTTCCACCGCCAAGTAGCAAACACACTCAGGCTTCTGTTGTAACTGCTGGGTGACTCCTACAAGCTGTGGTCAGGCTTCTGTTGTAACTGCTGGGTGACTCCTACAAGCTGTGGTCAGGCTTCTGTTGTAACTGCTGGGTGACTCCTACAAGCTGTGGTCAGGCTTCTGTTGTAACTGCTGGGTGACTCCTACAAGCTGTGGTCAGGCTTCTGTTGTAACTGCTGGGTGACTCCTACAAGCTGTGGTCAGGCTTCTGTTGTAACTGCTGGGTGACTCCTACAAGCTGTGGTCAGGCTTCTGTTGTAACTGCTGGGTGACTCCTACAAGCTGTGGTCAGGCTTCTGTTGTAACTGCTGGGTGACTCCTACAAGCTGTGGTCAGGCTTCTGTTGTAACTGCTGGGTGATTCCTACAAGCTGAAATTAAGACACATGGGCAACATCTGGGTATACATAACTTGAAGACAGTAGAACTATATACAGAAGACGAGGTAATCAGTCCCTCAACCTTGGAGTTGGTGTGAAGAGCACCGTAGTCGTGGAGATTCTGAAGCAGACGATACGATACGATAGGACTCACAGGTAAGGACCCACGAGGGGCGAGGGGCAAGTGGGGACAGTGCGAAGAATAGATGGTGAGAGGAATGTCTTGAGTTGAAGAGAGAAGAGTCAGGACTAGACCCAACTGCTAAGCCTGGATAAACAATAACGAAGACGACATAAAAGACAACAGGGACTCTGCGGGTGCTGACTGCAACTGACTGGAAGCACTTCAACTTGCAATGACTGGATATGGTTCAGGGACACGTTGTTGCAAAGGCGACGCAAAACGCACATCGCAAGCACTTCAGCCCTAAAAACGCACAAAGACAATGAAGCAGAAGCAAGGAACCTGGCGCTTATATACTAACGTCAGGTGGAAAGGGGACGTGCTGCAGACGAGGGCATGGTCACTGGTAAGCGGTATTCCCCAGTGGAAGTAGGTCCTACCCAAAGAGATGGGTAGGCAAAACGCCTACAATCAAGATACCTAGATGTTGCACATGTCTTAATTTCATCTTGTCGGTATTGTATACCATTTTCCTACAAGCTTTGGTCAAGCTTCTGTTGCAACTGCTGGGTGACTCCTACAAGCTGTGGCCAAACTTCTGTTGTAACTGCTGGGTGACACTACTTGGAGTGTGTTTCGGGGATCAGCGCCCCCCACTACGACCCGATCCTTGACCAAGCCTCACGGTAGATCAGGGCCTAATCAACCAGGCTGTTACTACTTGCCGCACGTAGCCCAACGTACGAGCCACAGCCCGGCTGATCGGTTACTGACTTTAGGCATCTGTCCAGCTGCCTCTTGAAGGTAGCCAGGGATGTATTGGTAATTCTCATACTGACGCACAGTTCAGGACATTTATTATAGGAAATGTTTCACCACGATTGGCTTCTGCAGTTTTAATGAAGGACTGAAGAAGCCACTTTAATAAATGTTCTGAAATGTTAGAAATTGGCGTTAGTTATTGGCAAAAAAATGATCTTGTGCAATCTATTATATAGAAAAGTTGAAGGGGAAGGGGGTGAGATGTGAGGAAGATTGATGTGATAATATGTAACCTTTAATTGTTTCTCTTCGTTTATTTTCCTATGAGCGTCCCAATGTTAGTTTCTTAATACTTATTATAAACTTACAAATATTATCTAATTTATTTTCATTTGGGTTAGGTTAAGTAGGTTAGATTAAGATAGGTTAATTTAGGTTAGGTTAGAAAGCGTTTTAATTTTCTAGTGCTAGAATGTGCCGCTGTATCCCAACCTGTCAACATTCCGTATATATGAAACGTTTGTTTTTCTTCGAATTAGGTACAAGATTGTGTACAAGGCACAGCCCTGGATGATTATTAACCCAACATAACCCAAAAAGATACAAGACATATCTCAGGATTATTGTTACCCCAGCATAACACAGATAGCTTAGCACTGACTCACGAAATCGAACTGACACGATTGCAAACAAACCATACCACGGGCGGGATTTGAACCCGCAGTCAGAGAGTCTCAAAACTCCAGCCATGTTGACGGCATTGAGGGGACTTGAGCTAGAGTTCGTCACGGCCACGCTAGCTGGAGATTTGTCTGTAAAACTTGCATTTGTGGTCACAGTGGTGCCTATGCTAACCTTCCTATTTTTATTTAGAAATATACCTAGTTGGACGAATCTTATTGTGGCTAGCTGGTCCAATGGCTAACGCGACGGTCTGGAGTTTTGAGACTCTCTGACCGCGGGTTCAAATCCCTCCCGTGGTATGGTTAGCTTAGCACTGGTTTATTTCCGCTGGGGCCTTCGTTTATCTTCCCCAGGATGTCACCCACAACACTTGATTAACACCCAGGTACCTATTTACTCATAAGTGCAGCAAGTGTAACAAAACTTTATTATACCTTCAAAGAACTTGCTTACTGGCAGTTGTATATATGTATATTTATGTTGGTTAACGTTCAAATAATCTAACTATACCGAAATTTCCTTAAATTAAGTAGGCTTGTCATGAACATCTCGCCGCATAGATCATTCAGAAATAGACTAACGTAAACACGTCAGAAAGGGAACATTATGTTACGACGACGGGCTGTAAATTTTCACATTTTCTTGTGTCACCCCTAAGTGACAGGCATTAGCAAGGAAAATGAATGGAATAACAGCCGTCTCCAATAAAAAAAAAATTTCTTAACCTCGCTAAGCACGTTCCCATAAATTTCAAAATAGGAAAAAAAAACAAGTGAAAATAGACAGTGTGTATGAAAGTAAATACAGGGATGACAAACTACATGGTGTGGCTCAGTTGAAGTGACCTGCACAAGACTAGAGGTCGGTGTTATTCGTGTGTGTGATTGATACGTCTTCACATAGTTCAAATTGGAGAGGAAAAGTGGAGAACATTTCTGTTCGTGGGGGAACCATTATCATGTCACGAGTGCTTTCTGAAGATCTTATGTTATTGTATTTCAGGAAGCTCTAAACCTGTGCAAGTTATTCCGCGCAGTAACTTTTGAAGGTTTGGTCCTTCGTCTGCTAACTGCAGCCCAGTTTCTGTTCAGTAATAATAATAATAACAACGGGTTTACATAGTATTTTTTTCCTGGGTGTGACCCAGGAATTATAGCTAATTTTAACTATATTTTAGTCATATAGCTAATTTTATTGCTAGGTGGATAGGGGCAGCAAGAGTTTAAGGAAAACATGCTTAAACTTTTCGAGGGCCCGGGTTTCGAACCCTTGAGCGAATGGTCTCTCCTCTGAGCTGCTGGGTGCCTCCACCCGTTATCTTATGAGCGATAGCACTAAAGGTTTACGTTTGAGAGAGGTACTTTGCTCCGGTTGCCAAGCCTCTTCTCGGTCGTTTCTTGTGATCTCCCTTCCTTCCTTCCTCAGCCTGATTATCTGGTCCTTGACTATTGTTTTCCTCCTGATGTGGTTGTACCCATCTAGCAGTAAAATCAGTTATATGACTCTCAGCTGACTGTTGTGGGTCGCACCAAGTAATTTTAGTGTTCAGATTTGGAACTAGTTTCTCCAGTATTTATCAGGTATATATTATGATATAACTATCTCGCCTGCGTTCTAGGGAATATAGTCTTGGGAATTTTAGCCGTTCCTGGTAGTTTAGGTGTAAGTTTATTTAGGCACAGGTATGCGTAAGTACAATTATCATACTTAGTGTCAATTACCTGGGATAATCCAAAAAATGTCAAAGTGACTTATTTCCAGTGGGCAGTGAAAGTTCTTCATACATTCTTCAGGTCTGCAATTTCACCAGTCTTAAATGGGGCTATTAACATACAGCAGTAAGATAAGATAAGATTTCGTTCGGATTTTTAACCCCGGAGGGTTAGCCACCCAGGATAACCCAAGAAAGTCAGTGCGTCATCGAGGACTGTCTAACTTATTTCCATTGGGGTCCTTAATCTTGTCCCCCAGGATGCGACCCACACCAGTCGACTAACACCCAGGTACCTATTTGCTGCTAGGTGAACAGGACAACAGGTGTAAGGAAACGTGTCGAAATGTTTCCACCCGCCGGGAATCGAACCCGGGCCCTCCGTGTGTGAAGCGGGAGCTTTAGCCACCAGGCCACCGGGCCACCATAATACAATAATTAGTAGTGCTGTCTAGAGTAGAGGTGACTTGAGTGTCGTCATTGTTTTGATCAAACATCTCTTGTTCAGGTTTGTGTTATGAAGCTTATCGTTTTTTTCTTTCAGTTGTGATAGTAACTCTTTATCTTTGAATGTACGATAATTTTATAGTGGAAACACGCGCAGTGAGCTGCTGCCCTGTTCAATATGATATTGCGTGGGGGTATCTGCAGTGTGCGGCTACTCTATTTTATGTGCTACGTACATGGTGGGTAGAAAAGCAAGCTGTTTCTCTGTCTTACTCCATTATATGTACGGTAATAAAATATGTCATCCAGAACTGGGAGACATTGTATGTATATATGCATTATTGAATTTTTAACTTGGTGGACCGGTAAGCTAAGGAAAGACCTGAGTCATCTTACTTACGTAAGACTAAGACCAGCTGCACGAGAACCTTTCCCATTCCCTGTACCAACAAAGTATCTTAAATTTTGAACGACTATAGCAGAGCAAGTTTAAAGCCTACCCATGTTTGTAACCTTTCAGTGACAGTGAGTGTACGATAAAAGTGAAAGTCTGTATAAGGGTGAGAGTGTAGCACTCAAGTACACAGATAATGACAAGACATTGATGAACAAGCTCACTATATATGATGGGGAGAGCGCGTACACGCGCCTCTGTGCACATAACCAGTGTAGCAAAGTGACATTGCCTCCTCATCAAGCTACACCACCACACACACACACTTGTTACAACGTTGAACCACCACACACTTGTTACAACGTTGAACCACCACACACTTGTTACAACGTTGAACCACCACACACTGTTACAACGTTGAACCACCACACACTTGTTACCAAGTGATCCACAATATAAACGTCATGACAGTCAGTACTTGAAAACTCTCACGGTGGAAGTTATAAGAGTGAAGTGAACTTTCAAGCTAGAGGCTCAACCAAGAAACTCGTTGTTGGTGTTAGTGGCACTTTGAAAGATCTAAGTGCCAGCAGGAGCAAGTGTGAGGAAGCTAAGTGCCAGCAGGAGCAGGAGCAGAGGCACAACATCACTATGATGAAGCGAGGAGGACCAGCCAAGACTCGTACTGTCTCCTTCAGCGAGGACCAGCAGGTAGGCTCCATCTTTTCTCATGCTTATCTGACTTACATAAACTCACAGCTACCTGTATACCCTCCCTCTCTACCAGTAACAGTTGCAGTACTAGTACTAATACCGTTGTCAGTGCTAGTACAAGTGCTAGTGAAACTATCAGTACGCTGTAGCAATCTGTCTTTGTGTTGAGAGAAAAGTTTGTATGTGTTGTATTATTGTTTTGACTTGTCAAACAAACTCAAATGTATTTGAACAATGGCGGAAGCCAACGAGTGATAATTTCGAACAGACCTTTAAAGGTTTCTGAGCTAAAAGTGTCTTTGAAATATTCAAATACATTTTGACGTGGAAATTATAAGGTAATATGGTCACTAACACTTGTGAATATTGAAGTATTTAACTCATGTTTACTTTATAAACCCAGGTTGTAGTGTGGTGCTTCATAAGTATCTTTCTTACGAGTCTGAAATGTACGGGGAATTACCTAGTGAAAAAAGGTGGTGTTTGTGTGGCGGTATTGTGCGTAATTGTGTGGTGGTGTGTTTTAATGTTATGTTATGCGGTGTGTTGTGTGGTGTGTATTAATTTCAGTGGTGCGTTGTGGGAGTTGAATGTGGCGTTATGTGAAGGTGTGGTGTGTTGTGTGGCGGTGTATTGTGCGGTGGTGGGTGTTGTGTTGTGGTGTGTTGTGTGGTGTGTTTGTGGTGTGTTGTGTGGCGTGTAATGTGCGTGGTGGTTTGTGGTGGTGTGTTTGTGTTGTGGGTGTTTGTGTGGTGGTGTGTGTTGTGTGGCGGTGTATTGTGCGGTGGTGGTGTGTTGCGTGGTGGTGTGTTGTGTGGCGGTGTATTGTGCGGTGTGTGTGTTGTGTGGTGTATGTTGTGTGGGGGTGTGTTGCATGGCGGTGTATTGTGCGTGTGGTGGTGTTGTGTGGTGGTGTGTTGTGTGGCGGTGTATTGTGCGGTGGTGGTGTGTTGGTGGTGGTGTGTTGTGTGGCGGTGTATTGGTGGCGGTGTTGTGTGTGTTGTGTGGGGGTGTGTTGTGGCGGTGTATTGTGCGGTGGTTGTGTTGTGGTGGTGTGTTGTGTGGCGGTGTATTGTGCGGTGGTGGTGTGTTGTTGTGGTGGTTGTTGTGGGGTTTGGGGGTGGTGTGTGTGGTGTGGTGGGGGTGTTGTGTGGGGTGGTGTTGTGTGTGTGGGTGTTTGTGCGGTGGTGGTGTGTTGTGTGGTGTATGTTGTTGGGTGGGTGTTGTGTGGTGGTGTGTGGTGTGAGTGGTGTTTGTGTGGTGTGTTGTGTGTGGGGTGTGTTGTGTGGTGTGTTGTGTGGTGTGTTTGTGTGGTGGTGTGTGTGAGGGTGTGTTGTTGGTGTGGTTGGCGGTGTGTTGTGTGGTGTGTTGTGTGGTGTGTTGTGTGGGTGGTGTGTTGTGAGGGTGTGTTGTGTGGGGTGGTGGTGTTGTGTGGTGTGTGTGTGTGTGTGGGGTGTGTGTGGTGTGGTGTGTTGTGTGGGTGGTGTGTTGTGTGGGGTGTGTTGTGTGGGTGTGTTGTGTGGGGTGGTTGTGTGGTGGTGTGGTGGGGTGTGTTGTGTAGGTGTGTTTGTGTGGGGTGGTGTGTTGTGTGGTGGTGTGTTGAGTGTGTTTGGGGGTGGTGTGTTGTGTGATGGTGTGTTGTGTGGGTGGTGTGTTGTGTGGGGTTTTTGGTGTGTTGTGTGGGTGTGGTTTGGGGTGGTGTTGTGTGGTGGTGTGTTGTGTGGTGGTGTTGTTATTACTGTTCTTGCTGTTGAACAGCGGTTTAGTGCCGATGAAGGTAGCGTAGGTAGCAATGATACGGCCGTGGACTAGTTTGGCTTTAATTGGGTAGGAGTGAGTACACAACAGGCAGTGTGAGGGAGTGACCGCTAGCCAGTCCGTGGAGGGGGAGCACTTGTGTCTATCAAGTGGGTCGGCCTAGGAGTGAGGGCGGATGGGCTCAGCCTCCCACTGACCTGGGTGAGCCTACAGAGGGCAGCACTTAAATGCCGCGAAATATGAACTAAGCTGGCAGATGGCTAGGCTGTCTGTTCTGATAGTACAGGTTGTCTACAGTGTTTGTGTGGGGTGTGTGTTGTGTGGGGTGTGTGTGGTGGTGGTGTGGTTGTGTGTGTGTGTGTTTGTGTGTGTGTGGTTGGTGGTGTTGTGTGTGGGTGGTGGTGTGTGTGTGTGTGTGGTGGTGGTTGTGTGTTGTGTGGGGGTGGTGTGTTGTGTGGTGGTGTGTTGTGTGGTGGTGTGTTGTGTGGTAGGTGGTGTGTTGTGTGGGAGTGGTGTGTTGTGTAGTGGTTTGTTGTGTGGTGGTGTGTTGTGTGGTGGTGGTGTGTTGTATGGTGTTGGTGTGTTTGTGTTGTGTGGTGGTGGTGTGTTGTGTGGTGGTGGTTTGTGTTGTGTGGGGGTGGTGTGTTGTGTGGTGGTTTGTTGTGTGGTGGTGTGTTGTGTGGTGGTGTGTTGTGTGGGGGTGGTGTGTTGTGTCGGAGTGGTGTGTTGTGTGGTGGTTTGTTGTGTGGTGGTGTGTTGTGTGGTGGTGGTGTGTTGTATGGTATTGGTGTGTTGGTGGTGTATTGTGTGGTGGTGTTTGTGTTGTGTGGGGTGGTGTGTTGTGTGGTGGTTTGTTGTGTTGTAGTGTGTTGTGGGGGGTGGTGTGTGTTGTGTGGGGTGGTGTGTTGTGTGGTGGTTTGTTGTGTGTGGTGTGTTGTGTGGTGGTGGTGTTGTATGGTGTTGGTGTGTTTGTGTTGTGTGGTGGTGGTGGTGTGTTGGTGGGTGGTGGTGTGTTGTGTGGTGGTGGTGTGTGTGTGTGGTGGTGTGTTGTGTGGGGGTGGTGTGTTGTGTGGGAGTGGTGTGTTGTGTGGGAGTGGTGTGTTGTGTGGTGGTGTGTTGTGTAGGGGTGGTGTGTTGTGTGGGAGTGGTGTGTTGTGTGGTGGTGTGTTGTGTGGTGGTGTGCTGTGTGAGGGTGGTGTGTTGTGTGGTGGTGTGTTGTGTGGGGGTGGTGTGTTGTGTGGGAGTGGTGTGTGTGTGGGAGTGGTGTGTTGTGTGGTGGTGTGTTTGTGTGGGAGTGGTGTGTTGTGTGGTGTGCTGTGTGGGGGTGGTGTGTTGTGTGGGAGTGGTGTGTTGTGTGTTAGTGGTGTGTTGTGTGGTGTGTAGACAGCCTGTACTGTCTGCACAGACAGCCCATGCTGTCTGCCAGCTTAGTTCATATTTCGTGCCACTCAGATGCACCACACTACCATACACCACTCACCACTGCCCACTCCCTCTGCTGTGTTTTCTGCTGTTTTTCGTGTGATTCATTGCCAAAGCTGTGTATCCGAGTGCCCGAGGCCACTCGAAGCTACGTAGACCAGCATGCCACGTGGATCACGATGCCACATGGGTGTGGGCGATGTCACATGGATCACGACGCCACGTGGGTGTGGGCGATGTCACGTGGATCTACAAACCACGTGAGTTACCGAGCCAAATGTCCCAGGCCTCATGCTGTGGTCTGCTGCCCACATCACATTGACGTCACCGACGATGCTGCCCGCATCACATTGACGTCACCCACGATGCTGCCCGACTTCATGATGTCACGATGTCTGCTGACGTCACCTCATGATGTCTGCCTGACGTCACCTCGAGATGTCTGCTGACGTCACAGTGCTGCTGATGTCACCTCGTGACATCACGCCTGACATCACATGATGTCACATCGAGTGTTTCTAGTAATTATTTCAGTATTGTCGAGAAGATTGAGAGAAGATATATGTCGTGTGTTAATTCCTCTCAGTGTTCTCACATTTTAGTATATGTCTTAGTGTCAGTTTTATGCACAGAAAAGCATAATTTGCTAGTTTAAGCCATGTTGTACCGCATGTACCGCGGGTGTGTTTAAAGTTTCCGTGTGACCAGTGAGGTCTGAGCCAGACCTGAGTAGCACCACTGTGCTAAGTCACCCATGTGACCAGTGTGTTTGACAGCTATCAGACAGCCCCGAGTGACCGAGCCCTCTTGTACAGAAAGCATTTATGCTCATCGCTCGTGATGTTCTGCAGAATTGTACCTGCTACGATTCCCATCGAGATTTGTTCACTTCACCTCCAGACCGTCAGAGTGCAGTTATATGTAGAGAAACAAGTCTGGGGACGCTTAGACTAACCTCTGCTATAACTCCAACTGCCGAGAGAATGATACTCGTCAAGCCGCAGTCAGCCCTGTCGGCAGGCGCTGTGTCAGCCTCGTGTCACAAGCTTCAGTGAGCAGCCTGCACAAAGAAGATGTCACTTTGACTGCTAGCTCTCTCACTGCAGTCTGGTGTATGATGTTATGACTCCCAGATGTTTTGCCCAGTCATCTCTGCCACGACTCGCTCCACAACTCGCTCCACGCTCGCCGGCAGTGACAGCCCAGCGACAGTACCAGTCGAGAAGTGTCCTGAGTCGCTTGCCAGAAGTCCTGCCCAGTTGCCGAGTTTTGTCGACGCCTCACTCGAGGGCACCAGCATGTTGTGCCCCAGGTTAAGTGAAACCTTCAGCGACTCCTACGATGACTGCTTCACTGTTCCAGAGGAGACTGTAACCTGTTACGTCACAGCTCAGCCGCAGTGATGTCTCCTGTGTTGCAGTATCTGTCCAGACGCAGGAAGGCGTGCAGTGATGCCCTTCGACGCTCACTGCCTATGACCACGATGTTTAGCACACCCCACATGTTTTTTTCTTCCCTCCCTGTAGGAAGTTTTTTTTCCATGTCCATATGTATATATATGTTTTTATTTTGTGTTCTGTGCCCTGTTCCTACGAGAGAGAGACCGAGTTCCTTTTACCACCAGTATTGTCGCGTCGGGACGACACGGGGTAGGTGGCCGAGCGTATGTAGACAGCCTGTACTGTCTGCACAGACAGCCCATGCTGTCTGCCAGCTTAGTTCATATTTCGCGCCACTCAGATGCTGCCCTCTGTAGACAGGCCTCTCGGTAGGCACGCCAGCCTGTCTGCCCATGCCTCGCGCTCACTCAGACAGCAGCCTAGCAGCAAGACACAAGTACTAGTAGCTCTCTCTCGTGGGATGGCCCTTCCCGGGCCATGGGCACAACACAAGCCTGTGTACCCACCACGACAATTTAAATAAACAAGGAAGCCTCCGAAGACACTTATCATTTGAACCCCGCTACCATACTACCAAATAATCCCGTTATAGGTGGTGTGCTGTGTGGGGGTGGTGTGCTGTGTGGTGGTGTGTTGTGTGGTGGTGGTGTTGTGTGGTGGTGTGTTGTGTGGTGGTGTGTTGTGTGGGGGTGGTGTGTTGTGTGGGGGTTTTGTGTTGTGTGGTGGTGGTGTGTTTGTGTTGTGTGGTGGTGGTGTGTTGTGTGGTGGTGGTGGTGTGTTTGTGTTGTGTGGTGGTGGTCTGTTGTGTGGGGGTGTGTGTTGTGTGGGGGGTTGTGGTGTGTTTTGTGTTGTGTGGGTGGTGGTGTGTTGTGTGGGGGTGGTGTGTTGTGTGGGGGTGGTGTGTTGTGTGGGGGTGGTGTGTTGTGTGGGGGTGGTGTGTTGTGTGGTGGTGGTGTGTTTGTGTTGTGTGGGGGTGGTGTGTTGTGTGGCAGTGGTGTATTTGTGTTGTGTGGTGGTGGTGTGTTGTGTGTGGGTGGTGTGTTGTGTGGGGGTGGTGTGTTGTGTGGGGGTGGTGGTGTGTTTGTGTTGTGTGGTGGTGGTGTGTTGTGTGGGGGTGGTGTGTTGTGTGGGGGTGGTGTGTTGTGTGGTGGTGGTGTGTTGTGTGGTGGTGGTGTGTTTGTGTTGTGTGGGGGTGGTGTGTTTTGTGGTGGTGGTGGTGTGTTTGTGTTGTGTGGTGGTGGTGTGTTTGTGTTGTGTGGTGGTGGTGTCAGTCGGGGTATTTCTTCACTACTCTGGTGGCCTGGTGGTTAACGCTCTCGCTTCACACGGCGAGGGCCTGGGTTCGATTCCCAGCCAGAGTAGAAACATTGGGCGTGTTTCTTTCCACCTGTTGTCTATGTTCCCCATCAGTAAAATGGGTACCTGGGTGTTAGTCGACTGGTGTGGGTCGCATCCTGGGACACTGACCTAATTTGCCCGAGATGCTCAGCATAACAAGTGGCTTTCTATGTAGTAGTATGTCATTGTTGTCAGCTAGGACTGTATTCCATGTACATGTACTTGTAGTAAATAAAGATTATTATTATTATTATTATTATTATTATTATTATTATTATTATTATGTATGTTAGTTCTGCCTTCCCTCCAGAGCAGGTAAGTGGGTGGACGTGTTGTAGCCACGACCTGCTTGGGGGTCACACACGGATTTAAAGTTTAGAATCTGTCTGCAGCTATCAGAGTTGCCAACTGAAATTTTCAAATAGCAATAGACTCTTGCCTTAAAGGCGCTAAAAAAAACAATTACTGTTTTTGTAGAGAGAAGCTAAGAAAATAGCTAAGATTATTAGTTACAAAGGTTATAAGATGACACAATACGATGCACTGAATAATCGCCTGTGTATAGGTGATTATTCTACATCTGATAAATCCCAATTAACCTTCTCTAAATCAGTGTGTATCTGTTTCTTTTTCTCCAAAGAGCTTATTTTTCATACATTAGATAAGTTACGCAGATTTCTCATGAAACATGACAATTGTTTCCCGAGGCGAGTCTTACTGATGACCCGCAGCCGGAGCTTTTGGTCATTTGACCGAAGCCTTCCACTGACTCGCAACTATTAGATTGTTTATCATTAGCTCCTAGATAGGTTGTAATCATGGCAACATTTACCATGCTTTGTCATCTCATATGTAATAGAGAAATTAATTTTCAAACTCTTGTTACAGTTTTAACTTAATGCTGACGTAGCTTAACACATGTTCCACGGCAGCATTACAATGAGGTAAAGTTAGCACTGCTAAGATCAGTCTGAGAGATGTTAGAATGTTTTTTCCGTGTGTGGCCTCCCTGTATGAAGGTATGTCTGCCCATACTCCACTGGAACTTAATGTGGGTCACAGTTGCATCATCTTCCATAAACATTTTTCCTACGTCAAGTGTGTAAGTGACGGTATTAGTTATCTGGCAAGCGTAGACTAACTACACCTATTACTACTGCTACTAACTACATGTACTAATACTACTTATTACTGCTTCTACTACTACTTATTACTGCTTCTACTGCTACTAATACTTACTACTACTTACTACTACTTACTACTACTACTACTACTACTACTACTACTACTACTACTACTACTACTACTTACTATTACCACTACTACTACTACTACTACTAACTACTACTACACTACTACTACTTACTATTACTACTACTTCTGATACTAGCTACAACTACTAGTAATTACATCTACTACTACTACTCTGCGATATACATGCCACCCCCCCCCCCATCCCTTTTTGCCTGTTAACTCTGTCACATCTGTATAGGTTGTAACCTGGGATCCATATTTCGTTGTCCAAGTGATCCTTTATGTGGGTCTCTGTGAAAGCCGCGAACATTGCATTTGCCTCTGCAAGCAGTCCATGGATGAAAGGTATTTTGTTGTTCGTTGCTGGCTTTAGACCCTGTATATTTGCAAAAAAGAATGTCATCGGACTGGTGGTATTGGTGGTGCTGGGGGGGATTTTTTTTTCCGGCATTAGTATCTGTATCTGTTGGTTTGGAGTGGAGGCCATCGACTGTGGTTCCACTCCAGGAATGACTGGATTTGGTGTACGATTTCTGCCATTTCCTGCCAGTTTTTTTTTCTTCCTGGCACTAAAAAACCTCTCCCTCTTGAGTGGCTGTGGCTACCCAGGTTTTCCCATGGCCTGGATGTTTTGTATATTTTTGTCCCCTTTAGATGGTGTGCCTGGCAATTTAAGTTATAGCACAGTCTTTCCTGTACTGAAGAGGGACACATTTCAGGGTGAAAAAGCGTTATCATATGGGCACGGCATTTTCTAGGGTGGTCATAGTTGCACGTCCCATCTGTTTTTCCAGATTTCCCATGCCTGCAGATACCAAGTGCATAGTATGTGCACAGACTTGGTTTCTGTTTGCCTTGGGTTTCTGTGACTGTATTCCCTGTTAGTGCATGTTTACCTGCCTCTTTCCTATCCTCACTAGTATTAACAATGGGGCTCTCACCAGTTGTTTCTGGTAATATATCCTCACTATTGCTAGTGGAGTCCCCCTTGTTTGCTATCTCCCTGTGGTATTGCTAGTTTGTAATATTGGTTTTATCTTATCTTTGACTACACTTGTTTCCCCACTACAGCTCCTGTCTCCCTCGAGGTCATTTATATGCATTCCCTCATGCATACATTTACTGACTACCTGGACAGCACCTCCATCCTCACCATTTCCGTCTCCCAGGACAGCACCTCCAGCTTCACCATTACTGTCACCCAGGACAGCACCTCCAGCCTTACAGTTTCTGACTACATGGCCACCACCAAGGGCGATACCATCCAGCCCAGACTTTTTATTTTCCCATCTGTTATGGAATGCTTTTCCAGGTTTTCTATGAAGGCTGCTTTGATGTTATCCTCTTTTAATACCAATGTGATTTTAGCCCACAGATTTATCTCATTTGGGCATACCCAAAAACACTTCCCTGATTTAATACTGTTTGTAGATAGTTCTTGGATATCTCCACAAAAATGGCAATTTATCCATGTGGAAGCCTGTTTGTTTGATGTACTTCAGACGACACAGAGCTTCATAATGTGATTTTAATGGTTGATTTACTGTAATTCTACTAGTAACTTCTTGAATATTCTACTAATAACCTCCTTAAAGTGAAGATCTGGCTATTTGTATTTCTATTTCTAACTGTACTTGTATATTAGGACAGCTTACCAGTGTACGTTCCTGTTTTATATTTATTGTTTTGTGTTGATAAGGGCGCCTAAAACCCCGTCTGTTTACAGTCTGCTTTATTGCCCAACGAATCCGTTTGAAACCGGTCAAGGGTTCGGACCAGCCAAGGGTTCGGAACGGCCAAGGGTTCGGAACCAGTCGGATCTGATCAGGGGTCACTTATTTAAAGCATACTGGTCGGCGATTTGGCTATCACATGAAGGAACTACTGGAAATTATCTAACCGAGTAATATGTGATTTGATTGATACAAAAGTATAACTTGCGTGTTGAAGAACTGGTGATTGCTGGCAGCTCCTACAATGACGAACGGTCCAGACCTCAACCCTTGTTTATAGATCACTGTATGTAGCTTTTCTAGGTTTTTTCCGTCTCCACTACAACAAATGCTATATTATCACTATAGTTGACTGGTTCAATTATTGGAGGAAAGACGCCTTTTTGGAGTAATATTTGCTTCTCGTTATGTATATTGCGACCGCTGGTAACTACAGTTTAAATGAATTTCACTGTATACGTCTGGTATTTCAAGAAAGAGAAAAAACTAATGAAAGTCACTCCACTCCACTAAGTACCATTATGTTACTGGTTAGTTGCTACCACAACACTGAATTTTCCTATTCACTGGTATCACTAGATTATATCGAGGTACACTAGTAAGCCAGGAAGATTATTAAAACAGCTGACCTGCCTCTTTGGGCTTATCACAGTGGGTATATGGCTTGTATTTGTTTACCTTGTGTGGGTATATGATTTGTATTTGTTTACCTTGTGTGGGTATATTGTTGTGTATTGTATTCACGTAAGTACATTATTATCATTTATCAGTGATCTACCCGGTCAAACCTCTCTTGAAATTCCTCGACTACCTACCATACTCTTTAGATTTATCTACCTGCCATTTAGATTTACCTAAATGCCATTTAGATTTACCTGCCTACCATTTAGATTTACCGATCTACCATTTAGTTTTCCTGTATTTCAGAGTGAATTTGAGAGCCGGGATGATGGCCACCATGGTACTCAGTGTTACTACGAGGATGATGACGATAATGGTTCCATCACGTCACTACCCGCTGAGCTGCCTCCTCCTCCTGACGGTGGCTGGGGATGGATGATCGTCGTGGTCTCCTTCCTCTGTAACGCCATCGTGGACGGCGTCGCCTACTCCTTCAGTCCCTTCCTGGAGACTATCTGTGAGCAGTTCGATGCTCCCAAAGGCACAGTGGCTTGGATACCATCCCTCCTGGCTGGCGTCTACCTTAGTGCTGGTCAGTAATTATCTACCTCTGTCCACCATGTTGCCTTCCTGCCTATCTACCTGGTTTAAAGAGACGAGCAAACATTAGAACATAATAGAAAACGTTAAGGTCCTGGGACCTTGATCACTTCTAACCACGGTCCCAGGATCGAAGCGTTTTCTAATATGTTCTAGTGTTGGCTCAGGGGTCTTTTTTTTTTTTTAAATTTCTCGGTATCAGTGGCCAAGGTTTATTTCACCTACCTGCCTGCCTGACTACCTACCTACCTACCTACCTACCTGCCTGCCTGCCTGCCTGCCTGCCTGCCTGCCTGCCTGCCTGCTTGCTTGCTTGCCTACCTACCTACCTACCTACCTGCCTGCCTGCCTGCCTGCCTGCCTGCCTGCCTGCCTGCCTGCCTGCCTGCCTGTCTGTCTGTCTGTCTGCCTACCTACCTTCCTGCCTACCTACCTTCCTGCCTGCCTTCCTGCCTACCTACCTACATTTGTAGATGGATGGTTCAGAGAACCGACATGTTGATAAATTAGACACATGTGCAACTCTTGGGTATCTTTATTGAGGAAACGTTTCGCCACACAGTGGCTTCATCAGTCCATACGTAGGAGAAACTTGAAGAACAGGAGGAGAATGAGGTAATCAGTCCCTCAACCTTGAGTCGATGTGTTCAGTCCATCAGTCTTGAGTAGAATACGGCATATGAGCGGAGAAGCAGCTTATAAACCGTATGGCAGGAGAGGTGTAGCAGTCATAGGTGGTGTCACATTTGTTCAATGTGGAAGTAGGTCGTGCCCAAGAATTAGGCAAGCGAAGAATACCCAAGAGTTGCACATGTGTCTAATTTACCACCTACCTACATACCTAATTACCTACCTCTCTGCCTACCTAATTACCTACCTACCTACCCCCCTGCCTACCTAATTACCTACCTACCTGCGTAATTACCTACCTACCTGCCTACCTACCTACCTAATTACCTGCCTGATTGCCCGCCTGCCTGCTTACCTACCTGCCTGCCTGCCTGCCTGCCTGCCTGCCTGCCTGCCTGCCTGCCTGCCTGCCTGCCTGCCTGCCTCTCCAACAGTAGAAGATTGTGAGGCCTGATGCTACTGAAGTAGCCTTGATACAGGGAATTGAATTATTTTTATTATATAAATTGGGAGAGTATTAAACGTGTAGGGATCATACAACGCTGAGGGAATGGGAGGCAATCAGGTACGATTCACGGAATGGAGGACGGACCCTTTTCCATGGACTAAGGGTCTCCTTGAGAGAACAAGCAATTGAAGCTCCCTTCATTTTCCTTGGATCAAATTTGATTATCTTCAATTGATTTCCCCCATTGCTGTATGACCGCTATGGGTTTAGCGCTTTCCGCTGATCACAATCATAATTTAGGCAGAAATATGAGAGCATTTATATGATTGTACATGGTACAAGAAGCCAGTATAGTAGTGATGAACCAGGTGATCGCTGGTGTTGACAACCCAGCACAAGTATAGTAGTGATGAACCAGGTGATCGCTGGTGTTGACAACCCAGCACAAGTGTAGTAGTGATGAATGGTTTGAAAAACCGAAGATTGAGACACTTATGCAGCATATTGGAATCTTTATTCAGGAAACGTTTCGCCACACAGTGGCTTCATCAGTCCAATACAAAGAGGAAGGCGTAAGGAGAGGAGGAGTATGAGGTGATCACCTCATACTCCTCCTCTCCTTACGCCTTCCTCTTTGTATTGGACTGATGAAGCCACTGTGTGGCGAAACGTTTCCTGAATAAAGATTCCCATATGCTGCATAAGTGTCTCAATCTTCAAGTGTAGTAGTGATGAACCAGGTGATCACTGGTGTTGACAACCCAGCACAAGTGTAGTAGTGATGAACCAGGTGATCGCTGGTGTTGACAACCCAGCACAAGTATAGTAGTGATGAACCAGGTGATCACTGGTGTTGACAACCCAGCACAAGTGTAGTAGTGATGAACCAGGTGATCGCTGGTGTTGACAACCCAGCACAAGTTAGTAGTGATGAACCAGGTGATCACTGGTGTTGACAACCCAGCACAAGTGTAGTAGTGATGAACCAGGTGATAGCTGGTGTTGACAACCCAGCACAAGTATAGTAGTGATGAACCAGGTGATCACTGGTGTTGACAACCCAGCACAAGTGTAGTAGTGATGAACCAGGTGATCACTGGTGTTGACAACCCAGCACAAGTGTAGTAGTGATGAACCAGGTGATCACTGGTGTTGACAACCCAGCACAAGTGTAGTAGTGATGAACCAGGTGATCACTGGTGTTGACAACCCAGCACAAGTGTAGTAGTGATGAACCAGGTGATCGCTGGTGTTGACAACCCAGCACAAGCAATTACACTGTCAACAGTGTAATGCTTATGTAGCATATATCGTTGTAGCTCCATTTTATAGGCAGGCTCCCTGGCCAAGCCTTATGTCACGTGACCAGAGGCCAGAAGCCTCTTCCTCATACTGGACCAGGCCTAGCAGACGAGCAGACAGTCCAGGCTCCCTCACCATCACTAATACAACGCCTCCATAACAGTTAACATTTATATCCTTCCTACCATCACTTCTCTTATCGAACCTCTTAACAACACTAGCTTATGATAAAGCCGTTAAAAATACAGTAATTACTTTGTGGCCCGTGGCTTGGTGGCAAAAGCTCTCGCATCGCACGGTGAAGATCCGGGTTCGATTCCCTGCGAGAGAAAATTTCAATTACTCAGATATGGTAAACATGAGGAAATTAAATCTTCATCAGAGTACAAAACAAATTCTGGCCACAAAATAGAGCGAAACACCAACGTCAAAGACCTGGGAGTGATCATGTCGGAGGATCTCACCTTCAAGGACCATAACATTGTATCAATCGCATCTGCTAGAAAAATGACAGGATGGATAATGAGAACCTTCAAAACTAGGGAGGCCAAGCCCATGATGACACTCTTCAGGTCACTTGTTCTATCTAGGCTGGAATATTGCTGCACACTAGCAGCACCTTTCAAGGCAGTGTGAAATTGCCGACCTAGAAAATGTACAGGAACTTTAGGCGCGGCATAAGGGAGATAAACACCTCAATTATTGGAGAGCTTGAGGTTCCACCTGTATTCCCTGGAACGCAGGAGGTGAAGAGTACATATGTGATCACTGGAAAATCCAGCAGGACTAGTGATTGCACACCAGGAATCACCGTTACAAAGCCAAGTAGTAGAGATGACCACCCCCCCAATGAAAAGCAGGGGTTGCAACCAGCACGTTAACGACCAACAGTAAGTGTCAGGGCTCGTGTAGCTCATTTTAAGGCATGCCCTCCCAGCACTAATGGGGTATCCAAGCAGACCTCTGTCCTCTCGACCAGGCTGCAACGAGCAAGCACTCCCTAAATCACCGATACACCGCGCCTTGGCGTAATTGTTTCTTCGCTAGCACATCTCTTATGAACCCTTACACTAGATAAGGCTCTGAACCACCAAGCCTTGTCTCAGGGCCGGGGGGGCTTGACCCCGAATCTCCGGTAAACTCCGGTTGATTACGAATGAGGCATTGGCGGTTTCCTTACACCGATTGTTACTGTTTACCCATCAATAAAGTAGGTACCTGGGTGTTAGTCGACTGGTGTGGGTCGCATTCTGGGACAAAACTGACCTAATTTGCGGGAAATGCTCAGCATAACAAGGGGCTTTCTATATAGTAGTATGTCATTGATGTCAGCTAGGACTGTATACCTTGTACATGTACTTGTAGTAAATAAAGTTATAATAACCCGCACAAAGCAGAATGAAACTTGTAAGGACGTTTCGCTTCGACTTGGTCCAATACCTCGTTCATTAACTAATGGTCCAAGTCGGACCGAAACGTCATCGTAAGTTTCAGTCTTCAATGTGCGGGTTACTTGTGTATTGCTCCAGTCATGGTATGTGATTTTATATTCTTTACTTTGTGTTGTTGTGCCATTCACTCAACAAGATTGTATAAACAAACACATAAGAACATAAAGAAGGAACACTGCAACAGGCCTACTGACCCATGCGGAGCAGGTCCATGCCCCCCCCCCCCGGATAATCCCAATGACCCACCCAGTCTGGTCATCCCCACTCAAGGATGGAGCACTGTGGAAACAATGGTAAAATACCACACATGCAAGCAAAGCTAGTAAGGTCCTATTGACTACTTCCCCACACAGTGCTTATCAGTACTGAGAAGTTGTGGCGAACTATCAATCAAAGACACTTATTACCATGGAATGCCAAGCATGTACACCTTTCCTATCATCCCTCATCCCACTCAGTATCGAGATTTTCCTCTCCAACTTTACCAAACCAGTTGCTTCCGATGTCCTTCTCTGGACTGGAAATTTTTCCACTGAAACCATTGTTCGAGTCCTGTCTTCTGGATTTTCGACATATTTCATCCCTTTTATTCCTTCTTATACACCTCAATCATATCCTCCCTAATTCTACGCCTTTCGAGAGAGTGCAGATTCAGGGCCCTCAGTCTATCCTCATAGGGAAGATTTCTGATACATTGGATCATCTTTGTCATCCTCCTCTGTACGTTTTCCAGAGCATTTATATCCATTCTGTAATACGGTGACCAGAACTGAACAGCATAATCTAAATGAGGCCTAACCAAGGATATATAGAGTTGAAGAACAACCTGAGGACTTATGTTATTTATATTTTCTAGATATGAAGCCAAGAATTCTGTTAGCTTTATTGCAAACACTAATGCACTGTTGTCTTGGTTTTAGATTACTGCTAACCAGAACTCCTAAATCCTTTTCGCAATCGGTAGTATTAAGATCTACATTATTTAGTTTATATGTGGCATGGTTATTTAACTGTCCAACATTTAGAACTTTGCATTTGTCAATATTAAACTGCATCTGCCACTTCTCCGACCATTGCGTCAGTCTATTCAAATCATCCTGGAGTGCTCTAATGTCCTCATTAGAATGAATTGGACGGCCTATTTTGGTGTCATCAGCAAAT